CACGTTCAATGTTATGACACCGTATCTGACTATCTATAAGACAGTAAATACAAAAACAGTAAAGAACACAGTCAATTGTTTACCCAGTTCAGTGTGCAACAACACCTACTCTGGGGGCTACCAAGCCAGGGAGGAAATCCACTATAAGAGATATTAATTCAGGAATAAACCAACCAGTTTATCTCCTTCACTTAAGATCTACCCAATGCAACTTCAATCTAAGTACAACTTAAACCTGAGTTCCTACTCACTCCCCCTCAATCACAGCAGTGATACTTAAAACAATTTGACTAATGAATTGATGAAGACACTCTTCAAAACATACACTTGATTATTCTTCACAGCTTTTTAATCAAGCAACACAAACACTCTTGCTTCACAGCTTTGAGTGATACATAAACCTAACTTGACTTTGCTTCAAAGCTTTAGTCAAGAGACACAAAAACACTCTTGCTTCAAAGCTTTGAGTGATACACAACCCTTACAATTAAAACCTATTCCAAGTCACTTATCACAATGATAATTGCTTGGATTACAATAGTTAAAACTATACAGCTTCTAAATGATCTTCTGTCAAAAAGGGGTTTGATTCCAAAACAGCAGCTCTGTTGAATATATAGCAGTTGCATCTTCAGTTAGGGTTTCCACAAAAAGCTAGGGTTAATTCCGTTTGACATTAAGACTAGGTCATAGGACTTTATCAACCAGGTTGGGGTTGAGCTAGGTTAACCCAAAGAAAACGCAGGATTCTGTTTTGGAAAGACTGAGTCATTTTCCTGAAAAAACTCAGAATTAACCAAACTGCATACCTGTTAGTTCAGAACAGGATGTCTTAACATTTGTTATGACATCTGAATTCCTGTTTACTGATTTTGGTAAATGTGATCATTTTGCAAAATGCTCAGATACACACTCATAAACATCAGTACCTGTATGACAATATTTTTCTGCAAAGGTACCTAATAAATATGTACCTAATAAACTAGAATGTTATGACATAAGTCATGACATTCATACACCTGGTTTTACCAAAAATGCATGCCAATACCTAAACAACTACATAACACATCCAACGAATCTCCAAATTCCAATTCAGATTACTAGGTGGAAGTTCTAGATGTTACCCTTATATAAGTGTGACTTTGAGTCAACCCTAGAATTATTCATTAAGGCTTGTATAGTCCCCCCTCTATCAAACACTGACATTTAAGTGATAAACTTACAAGTACCATCCCTCGTTGATTATCGCCGACCTCAACCAGTGTTCCAGAAGCCTTTTCACGGTGATCATCTTTTACACCTCATATATTCTCAATTCCAGTATGGTATAAAAGCAAAATAGAATTAAATTAAAATTTGTTTTTTAGTGGTAGTTAAAGATAAAAATCAAATTTTATTATTAAGTATATATATATATATATATATATATATATATATATATATATATATATATATATATATATATATATATATATATATATATATATATATATATATATATATATATATATATATATATATATATATATATATATATATATATATATATATATATATATATATATACATGTGTGTGTGTGTATATATATATATATATATGTGTGTGTGTGTGTGTGTGTGTGTGTGTGTATGGTGTGTGGTGTGTGTGTGTGTGTGTGTGTGTGTGTGTGTGTTGTGTGTGTGTAATACTAGTATTCAACAATAATTAATTAAAATTTTGTAGTACGTTGATGACTAGTTTTGATGTAGACAATAGAATAAAGACATGATATGATAAGAAACTGAATACAAATAGGATGTGATAATCTTATTATATCATATGTTTAATGCACACATTGAAAAAACATGTTATTAATATTTTATGTATTTGGTACACCATATATAGTGATATGATAAGTGTTTTGTTCAGGAATCAAAAATGGATGTAATTGGAAAATTGACGATCTTGAACAATGGTGCTATTTTCTTCATGGAGGTCCGGGATGGACCTACATGGTTAGTACTTAAACACGCAAGTCAGTTCAAGATTCAAGATGGCTGTAGTGAAAAATGGAGATCAATGAATGCACCTCTCTTTTTGCGTGTGTACTGGTTTTATTCCTTGGGTCAAGTGGAGTGGATTTGAGATGATTTGGGCCATGGTCATTTGGACATTTTCTCGACCTAGAACAGTTTCCCCCAAGGCTTTTCCGGGCACTGAAGAAGTTAGGGGAAGCCTTAAGTGATGTTGATCGGCCTCCTGGATGTTCTCAGATGTGAGATAGAACTGAAATGCCTTGAATCAGTTTAGAATGTAGTGAGGGAAAGATTGACTTCTAGGAGTTGACTATCACAAGGGTTGCTATCCTAGGCTCGTGCACACCAGGAGGAAGCCCCAATCGCACATGCTAATCTCAATATCCCTCCATTTGCAGACCCTTATCCAAGAGGGCCCACTAACATGTCATTACTGATATACTTTGGAGATCATGTTGCTCCTCATGTTTGGGACAAATAGGTATATTTATTAACGGTTCTATTTTTTATAATTTAACCAAATTCAATTTGACTGAGATTGTTATATTTTATTTTCAACAAGAACGCGGTGTTTGAAATCAATTAACAATTCCAGAAAGATTCACATGCTTGATCAACCTCAGGAAGAGTGGTTCCTTAGTATGCTTTAAGACTCCGGTCTTGCAGGTCTTTGTTCTTCTGGGTACAACGTCATCAGCCATAGTTGTCGTAACCGGCAAAAATATACGAGTAATCACCACTACTTTTGTCCTAAGGACGAGAAAGGGACATATAACCCTAAATTGTCATAGATTTCTAGGTTCGCAAGTTAGTTAGATAAAGGGAAGATATTAGGCACCCTTTATCTCTCTTGTTTTCAAGGGGCTTCTCATTTAGTTTTTTGGGTAAATCAGGAATTTTCTACTTAAATGTTATTATTTCCATGTAAATAAGAAAAGGTTTAATTTTTTAATTAGAGGACTTTCTTTGGTTTTAACTACGTGCCTATGTATTCTCTTGCAAATAAATCAGAGTCCATTTTGTAGTTCGTACAGTTTGGTTAGTTTTTCTATAGGATTACTTAGAATTGCTTTCAAATTTATCCTTGAGCCTTGTCTGGATTTGAAAAGAGTGATTCTAGACGAAGTTCGCAGTTAATTTTGAAAGTAATCCTATTTAATCCTTTTTTTAAATATCTTGGTTTTTATTAAGTTAGTAGAAAAATGATTTGATTGAGTAGCTGTTTTAAAATTGATTGGAGTTTTAAGAAGAGTTGATCTTCATTAGAATTAGATCGCGCTGGGCAAAAAAATTCATTCGATTTGTCAGTGAATTTTAATTGTTTTGATTTGAATAACTGATTGATAAGTGGTGAGCCAATCTACTAATTATTCGAGGATGTTGAATCCTTTTATTTATAAAAATGTTAAATTAATTTAATTTAAAAAAGAATTTTATTTTATATGAACTTAATGATTTAATACTAAAATTAAAAGTGCATTTTTTAGTGTTTTGTATTTTTAATGTTTTTTTTTTTGTATTTTTATTAATGAATAAAAAAATTAAGAAAAAAAGTTTTTTTTAATAATACTAACAAAAGGGATGAAGTTGAAAATTTTTTTTTGCAATAATACTAATAATAAGAAGAAAATTTAAAGTTAGAAAAAAAGGTTTTTCTATAATAATAATAATTATTATTATTATAATAAAGATTAAGGTCAAAAAATGTCTTTTAAGGTTAGAGAAAATATTTTTTATAAAAAAAGGTGAAAATAATAATAAGAAACACGAATATCATAAACCATAAATAAAATAAATAGCAACCAAACAATCGAACCAAAACTCAAACAAGAATAAACTCTAACTTACATCAAATATAATATTCATACACATGTGTTGTAACTGGTTTTTAAATCAGAGCCGTCACCCTTAATTTTTATCCTAAGTAAGGGAATATAAAGGATAACCCTAAAAAGTTCAGATATTCTAGATTGTTGACTCGCTTCTAGACGAGGGGAAGGTATTAGGCACCTTTTATCTACCTTGTTCAAAAGGATACTAGGATTAGAAGCGCAATTTTAGGAAATAGAATTTTAATGTTTTATTAGGGGAACTATCCACGATTTTAGTCGTATGTCTATGTATCCTCTTATGAGTAATCAGAGTCTCAATTCGTAGTTCGCAGTTGATTGGTGTTTTTTATGGTATTGCATAGAATTGATTTCAAATTTATCCTTGAACCTTGTCTGGATTGTAAGTAGAGTGAGTGTAGACGTAGTTCGCAGTTAAATTTGAAATTAATTCCATTTAATCATTTTTCGAAAACAATCTTGTAGTTTTTGTTATGTTAGTAGAAAAATGGTTTATTGTTAGTTAGCTGTTTTAAGACGTAGAGCAGAGGAGTCTGATATAGTCTCCTCATCACGTAGCCAGATATTGGCCACATGTCATTCGTGAATGAATTATTTGATGAGTTGTGTTTTAATTATTTGATTTTGAATAATAAATCGGTAGATGATGTATCGACCGATTTAATTACTCGAAAATAGACACCCTATTATTTATAGAATGTTTGAATTATTTTTTAAAATTTTTTTTGATGTATGATTAATAAGCACTTAAATTGCCTAATAACAAATAAAAAAAATTAAAACAAAATAAAAGAGGGGTGTTAAATTGGTATGGGTGTATGGGCTAGTAAAATATTGGTGAGATCAAGGCCCAAAGCCCAACATAACTTAACCTTAATTTAGATACTTAAAACAAATAATAGTAAAATAAAAAAAATAAAAAACAATAGTGTGTATCTGCTGTTGGAGAATGGGCTGAAGGTTGTCGTTGTGAGTGGCAGCTCGCAGAGAAGGTTGAAGAAGCTGAGACGATATCAGAAAGATAGCTTCGAAGATGAAGGGCGTGTTGGCGGCAGGATGAGTCGGTCGAGACCGATGGATCGCTAGAGGTAGTAGTCTTGGTGCTTGAACAAAGAGAAACAAAGGTTCTGGATCATGGTATTCGTCGGCGCCAGATGTGGTGCTTCGCGGAAGTCAATTGCGAGTCAAGTTTGTGGTGGTGGTGTTGTGCATGGTCGAGTGAGGCGGAGGTGTGTCTATTCACGGTTGGACGATGGTGGTGATGACAGCTGCGAAGGCTGCCGGTGCATGGGTTCTGACGGATCTTTCACGGTGGGCTATTGCATTGCGGTGGAGGCTAGGTTCGTCTATGTTGACATAGTTCTGTTGTTATTTTGACGGTCTCGAAGTTGTTACGTTTCAAATTCTCTCCTCCTTTTGACTCTGTTTCTCTTTTTGTTGTGTTATTGATGAGTTTTTATGAGGTAAATTATAATGATGGTGTTTGTAGGTTTTTTCGGTTCCTCTATGCCTGCAACTTTTTTTGTTTCTTCATTCTTTTCCATCTCTTTCATGTACAACAAACAGACACAAAACAAAACACACAAAAAAGATCTAATGAGAAACAGAGATGGAATTTGAGTATGCTTTCCCATGTACGGATCAGAAGGTGGTTGGATAGAGGACTTCATGGTGGTCGCGATTGAGGGAGGTCCGCTGGTTGTACTGTGTTGGTCGTCGCGAGCTTGAAGGCCTGTGGTTTTGAATTTCTAACGAACTATTTCTTTGCTTTCTTTTCCGATCTGATTTCAAAACAAACATAAAACAAGATTGTTTTGTTATGGTATTTTGAATTACATATTTGTGGTAATTGGTTTGAAAGGTTTGAATTTGTAGGTGATGGGTTGACTAAAAATATTTGTGATGAAGGTTATGAAAAGTTTAGGATTTGGTTTGATCGTGTTAAAGAAATGTATAAGTTACTTACATGGTTGAATATGGTTTTGCCTCAAATGTATGACTATTTGATAAAATAAATAAGAAAAAGGCTTTGATACAAGAATGAAAAAATAAGAAGATTTTCTCTATGAATACGTGTATTAGAGGTAAATCTTAGTATGTGAAATATATAGAAAATAAAAAGTGGGTAATATTTATAATGGAACGATGTTTTGTGGTGAGAAAAATAAAGAAAGGGTTCTTAGAAACTCTCGAAAAATATGCATGTGGAATAGAATGTGTTAACAGGTTTTGGAATTAGCCTCAGGTTAAAGAGTGAAAATTTTGGCCTCCAAAGGTTAGTAAAAAATATAATTAAACAAACAATTTTATCAAACAATATATTCAACCAAATTAAAAAAGGATCACCCTCATGTTCATCATTTGTTGTGAACGAATTGAAATAAAAAGGGGCTTCATTTAAAAATCATCGGCCAATAATAAAACAACAACACCCAGAGTTTTTTTTTTCGAAGAGAAAAGTTGCAAAGGAATTTTTGAAAATAAATTTGTAAACAAGTATTATGTGAGTGTGATCGTTGATTCATTATTGAAATGTGTATCCAAAACTAAGACAAATTAAGGTCATATTTATAGACTTGAATTAGGTTAAATAAAGACTTAGAGACTAAGTTATCCAAAAACTCAAAAGAAAACCCAAAGTTTGATCTCCAACAAAGGGAAGAAAATTAGTAAAAATAAAAATAAAAAAAAGTTTAAAAGTGTCACACACGAGATTTGAACATGTGACCTCATACTTGAATGCTTCATTCCTTACCAATTGTGTTATGTTACTTACTCAAAATAAAAAGTCAATTGAAAGTACATGAAGACGAGCAAGTATTTGTTTATTCAAAAATACAAATAATCTTGAAATAAATTATTATATTTTTAAATTGGTTAGGAAGCGAATATTTATAAAAATCAAGGAATATTTATAAAACAAATGTTTAAGAATATTTTTGACCGTAGAAATAAAGGGCAGACAAATTTGGAGTATGACAACTGCCCATATTTAATCACTCTTTTATTGAATGGTGTGAGAATGCACAGGTCTCGCACATTCGAATCAGAGGGTTATTAAATATTAGAAGATCCCAAAATTTGACCAAAGGTTGGATACATAAGGATATGCTGTACAACGTTTCCCCAAGAGTTTTGAAAAAAAAAGGCAAAGATGATGATATATCACCTTACCAGAATTTGAACAAAAGAAATAGGCAAAGATGATGATGTATCATCTTACTAGAGTTTTAATAGAGAGTAAAAATTGAAGAGTAAGATTGATCCAGATATGACGATGTGAATATCTCGTCAATACCTAGAAAAGGAGATTGTAGTTTTTTTTTTTTGCGTATTTACTGTTGTAATTGGCTTTAAAATTTGAGAGTCGTCACTCTTAATTTTTATCCTAAGGAAGAGAATATAAAGGATAACCCTAAAAAGTTAGAGATTATAGGTGTTTGGACTCGGTTCTAGACGAAGGGAAGATGTTAGGCACCCTTTATCTATTTTGTTCACAAGGATACTGGGGTTAGAAGCGCAATTTTTAGGAAATATGGTTTTAATGTTTTATTTGGGGAACTCGCCACGATTTTAGTTGTATGCCTACGTATCCTTTTATGAGGAATCAGAGTCCTAATTCGTAGTTCGCAGTTTGGTTGGTGTTTTTTATAGGATTACATAGAGTTGATTTCGAATTATCCTCGAACCTTGTCTGTGTTGAAAATAGAGTGATCGTAGACGCAGTTCGCAGTTAATTTGAATGTAATTCTCCTTAATTATTTTTTCAAAAATATCTTATAGTTTTATTAAGTTAGTAAATAATGATTTGATATTTGAAAAATTGTAATTAATTGAATTAAAAAATATAAAGGTGAAAACTTGTTTAGAGAAAGAAAAAAAGAAAGCAAATATCATGTTGATACTCTTAGTTTTTGAAACGTGCATTCATCATGAGTTTTTTCTTAAAACAAATAAATTATTGAAATAAATACAAGTAAATTAATAACATTAAGGAGTATTAAATAGAATAAATAAATAAGAAATGTAATACCAGTATGTACAACAACAAACAGAGTGAAGCCTAATTTTCTTCTTATTACTCAATCTACTTTCTTAGATCTCCTCATTCTCTTATCCTGTAAAGAACAAAAACATAACCAAAAAAGGGTAAAAGAAATATTGAGAAGAGGACTGATCGAAAAAAGGGTGAAAGTGATGGAGCGTAATCCTTTGTCGACGGCTGCAGTGTGGTTGGAACATTAGCCGTCTATATGGTCATTTGCGGCGGACTACTTATGTTTTTCTTTTCTTTTTTATTCAACCTGTAAGCAAAATTGAAGAAACAACAACAAGAATGCATTGTTATGATTATGTTCTTATTTCTTTTTCTCAGTGTCGTTGGTTAAGATGGTATTATTGTATTTTGAGATAGATTTTGGTGTTAGAAGTGGTTTGCTAGTTTTGTTTTAGGAACACGGTGATGATATTTTACAATGTTGATTCAATATTGATTCAATATGGTGATGTAAACTTTGGAGTGTATGTACATATGAGAGCTTTATTTAACTTTACAAACTAAGGTCCTATTTATAGACTCAAAATATGTTAAACAAACTTAGAGAGTAAGTTATCCAAAAGCCCAATGAGAAGCCCAAAGTTTGATCTCCACAAAAGGAAAGAAAATTAGCAACAAAAAAGAAATAAAAAAAATGTTAAAAATGCAACACACAAGATTCGAACTTGTGATCTTATATTTGCAAACTTTATTCTTTATCAATTGTGCTATGTTACTCATTTGTAAATAAACTCAATTGAAAGTATATGAAAGGTGTGCAAATATTTATTATTTTTAAAAATACAAATAATTTGAAATAAATTATTATATTTTTAACTGGACTTGAGAATGAATATCTATAAAAATCAAATAATATTATAAAAATAATGTTTAAAATATTTTTTACCGTAGAAATAAAGGTCGGACAAATTTGAGGTATGACAGATGCCCCTATTTAGTCATTCATCGATTGAATGGTGCTAGAATGCGCAAGTCTCACACGTTCGAATCAGAGGGTTATTAAATAATGGAAGACCCCAAAGTTTGACCAAAGATTTATTAAACAAGGATACACGGATATAAAATACCCCAGAGCTCAAAGAAATGAGCAAGGATGATGATGTATCATCCTACCAGAGTTTGAATAAAGAGATATGATTGAAGAGTAAGTTTGACCTAGATATGACGACGTGGATAACTCGCCAATATCTAGAAAAGAGATTGTAGTTTTTTTCCCCGTATTTACCATGACTAAGGAGGCAAACAACACGAGTTGAAAGATTATAAGGATATTTTGTACAACGTCCCCACATGTATGAAGAGTAGGCATAGATGATGATGTATCATCTTACCAGCATTTGAACCAAAGTTTTGATTTAACTTAGACATGACGACGCAGATAAATCGTTGGTATCTAAGAGAGGTTTTATATTTTTTGCATATTTACAAAAATACAAGTTTTGAAAAAGTTGACTTACTAATGCTTGGAGACTAATATAGTAAGTTTTGATTTGATTTTTTCTATTCATCACAACCTAGGGGATGAATAAAACAAAGTCTGATAACACATTGCTGCTTGGAGACTGATGCAATGGATTATGCAGATTTATTAGCATATCTACCATAACCTAGGGGATAGATATTTGAAAAGCTTCCTAACAACATTGTTTCATGGAGACTGACACAATGAGTTATATTTCCGACTTTGTCATGTTTACTACAACCAAGGGAGTAAACTATCTGAGAATGAATTCACGTATTCATTGCAACCTAGGGAATGAATAATATGATTAGGACATTTGCACATCCACCACACCCTAGGGAGTAGGTGATTGAAAAGGCTTGATAACAAAATCGCTGCATGGAGACTAACGCGATGAGTTATATCGCAGATTTTGCACATTGCTGCATGAAGCCTGACGCAATGAGCTATATCGCGAATTTCATACATTGTTGCATGAAGACTGGCATAATGCGTTATATCACAGAGGCAGAACCTGTTTATTTATCACAACCTAGGGGATAAATAAAACATATTTTGATAATACATTGCTGCATGGAGACTGATGCAATGGATTACGCAGACTTATTCGCATATCTATCGCAACTTAGGGGATAGATAATTGAAAAAATCTTGATAACTACATCACTGCATGGAGACTGAGGCAATGAGTTATATCATAAATTTCACACATCACTGCATGAAGACTGACGCAATGGGCTATATCTCGGAAGAAGCTTGCTAATAACATTACTGCATGAAGAATGATGCAATGGTCTATATCGCGGAAAAAGCTTGATAATAACATGGTTGCATGGAGATTGATGTAATAAGTTGTATCATGGATTTCACACATTGTCGTATGGAGACTGGCGCAATGGGTTATATTGCAGATTTATTCGCATATCTATCGCCAACATAGGGGATAAATGATTAAAAAAAGTTTGATAACTACATCGCTACAAGGAGACTGAGACAATGAGTTATATCACGAATTTCACACATTATTGTATGGAGACTGATGCAATGGGTTATATCGCAGAAAAATATTGGTAACAACATTGTTGCATGGAGACTTATGCAATGAGTTATATCGCAGATTTCCCACATCGCTGCATGGAGACTGACGTAATGGGTTATATTGCAGA